TGGGATGATGGGAATGGAATGAGAACCAGGGGAGGACCTGAAAGACACAGAAAAGGCTCCTCTTGGCAGGGCTGTCTCGCTGTCAGTGAGATTTCATCTTGACCTATTTCTACACATGCTGGTATCAATCATGATCCCCAGATATTTTTACCCATGCCCCCAAACTGCACAGAAAGACATAATTAGCAATCCTTTTGACTCATCTAGGGCCTCTGAGAGTGAATCATACCCTCTGCCACCCAATTATCTACCATAAACATAGTTCAACCTCCAACTATTCTAAGCAGTGGTTCTTTATAATGTCCGTTCAAGGACTGGTTTCTCCATTAACATTGGACTAAGCCCAACCTCTTTAACTTATCTTTTAAGAATTCCCCCATATTTTTCTCCTCCACCAAAGATAATCAATCTTAATGCACATTCTTCTGTAATAGTAAACAGCCTTGCAGAATCAGATCACAATCTTTATTTATCCCACACATGCTAAGATCAAAGTAGCACTTGACTTCATAGCATCTTTTAAGATGTTACAGAAGTACAATGTCCTCCTCAGTTAGAAGAACTGGTTGATTTCTTTGTTCAAGACCAGAAATTCATAGGAAATTATATTACTGGATGTCATGAGTTAGGAAGATAATTTACAGAAAGCCATTGGTGAGAAAAGTCAAAGTGGTCTGGGCAGGCAAAAGACAGACACTGGGTAGAAAGTGTGAGATGCAGGGGTCAGCTTCAGGGCAGGCGAGAATGCAGGAAGTGAGACATAAAGCTACAGACAAATGTGTGGAAGGTCAAGGAGGCTGACAACTGTTCCCTATGCAGCCATGTGCAGCATGGGGACATTGTAGACAGCAACAGGCCACACATAAAGCCATGATCCTATAAACTTATAAAGGCATTGAGCATGGTACCACAAGTTTATAATCCCAGTATTCTGGAGGCTGAGATAGTAGGATTGCCTTTTGGGATGTGTCAGAGTTTTTGTTTTTATGTTTCTGGGTGTTGGTCCTGTATGTTTGTCTGTGTACCACATGTGTACACCGTGCCTGCCAAGGCCAGAAGAGGGAATCAGATACCTTGGGATTGTCTTTATAGAAAGGTGTGAATCATCATGTAGGTGTAGCAAATCGAACCCAGTGCGTTTGCAAGAGCATCCAGGGTTCTTAATCACTGGGCTCTCTCTCCAGTCGCCAGACATGTCCATTTTTTAAGCAGCACGTGAATGTACATACTATGGAAATCATTGCATTCTCCCACCCGACCCCAGCCACTAAGACACTCCAGGTCAACTCCAGCCCAGCATTTCTGCTCCAAGCCTCATAAACACGCATTGTATGGAGTCATCTCTACATTCTACCCCTTCTATCCCTGACTGTTTCCTCTGCATGCTTCTCTTCCCTGGATGCTTTCCCACACACACACACACAGACACCCACACACACTGCTTCAGGCCATTGCATCCTTCCCCTTCCATGCAGCCCAATGGTGAAGGTGTACCTGGCACTGTCCCTGAATCTGGTGGGATTTTCTCCCTGCCTCTGGTGGGAGAAAAAGGCCCACTGTGGTCATCTTTCTGCCTTATCACTTCTGTCCCTTCTCCAGAGAAAGAGCCCTAAGTAAGTGAATTAAGAACAATGTTTTGAAACCATCCATGGTACCATTCTGTTTCTCTCCAATTACCATTTAAAACAGACTGGGTGTTACAGCTGAAGAAGCAGAAGTTCCTTATTTGGGGATTGGTTTATAAACTGCATGGTTGAAAATACATCCCAGCTCCGCACTTTTTCTATAGCTGGGGATGAAGAAATGAACAAAGCCAGGGCCCCAAAAGACCAATATAGTCAGCAGCTGCCAGGGACAATTTCATACTTAGCATGGTTAGCTGGCTTGAGATTGGTTCTATTAAAAGACTTTGTTTCCTCTGCAAAAGAAAAGTTTGAATACATTAATTCTTAACTGAGAGTTTGAGGGGGCCAGACATGGAACATGAAAACAAGCTAATTACAAAGCAGTTTTCCAAGCAAGATCAAAGATTTCCACCTTTTAAAAAAAAAATCTGCAAATCTAACATGAGGCTTTTGTTTTGAAGAACAATTGTAGCAAAGGAGCAACATACTTCTGCACATTTGTCAGCCCAGATAGAGAGCGTCTCAATGTTTCATCAGGGCCATGCATTCATCCACTTATTCATATGTCTGTAAATTGAATGTCTAGCCTGTGCTGGGTACTATAGGCTGGGTGCTGGGAAAACCAAGAAAACAGAGACATTCATACCCATAAGGATGTCAAATGTGGGGAAACTGTGTTTGAAATCCACTGAGTGATGTAGTGAGATTTTGTACCTCTCTTGGGCTTGGGGCCATGACTGTGTAGTGGATGTTGACCCCACTACATAGGTGACAGAGCTGTGCAAATTAGACAGCTTGAAGAAAAAAGGTAAAGAAGTGGTTTCTAGAAACTGAAGATAAGCTATAAGATACCCACTGAGTCTCAGCAAATCCTAGAAATTTGTTGAACCACCAAGAGTCAGAAACAAGCCATACATCAGTAGTTCAGAACAACAGATGCATGTCAAGAACTAGGAAATCTAGCAGAGATGTAAATAAACCTGAGGACCCACATCGGGTGAGATGAGAAAACGCAGGAAGGCCCTGGTTAATGTGGGTTAGCGATCTGGGATCATGGACATCCAGTCGGGCTCATTTGTGAGGAGAGAGCAGGAGTAAACAGATCTTAAGACAAACTCCCATCTGTCACGAGTACGCCATGTGCCAGGCATTTAGCTAATCACTTCCTATAAATTATCCCTTCGAATTTCCCATCTGAAACTGTGAGAGGGTATAAAGAAGAGAAAATTGGGACTTGATGCCCTTAATCACAGTGATGTCTTTGGTAGAGCCAGAATGCAAACTGAGGCCTGGCTTACACATCCTCACAGAGGGCACATTGAAAGGGTTTCTACACATGGGAGGAAGTGAAGAAACTCTGACTGCAGATTAGAACATACTGGCTATGGTGAAAGGTATGAAGATTAAGGATGGATAATAACTCAAGTGGGCCTCCATTAACTTGCCAAAATAGATTTGGAATGGCAGCTTTTGCCATTGTCTTTATTATCTTGAAGCACTCCAAAAATGGCGGTCATTTACCAGGATTTGGGCATCATACCTTTGCTACATCACTCAAATAAAGATGCTAATGACTGAGGCCATTTCAGAAGTTGAATGGGAACATTATTAAGTTTATTCAGCAGTGCTGAAGAACAGAGCATCCCAGGCTACAAAATGAAGCCAAATCTTCTGCAAGATGAAACCCTTTCTACCACAGAACAACAACCAGGACCTAGGCGAGGCCCTGGCCTACAATCTGCCCTAGAGAGGACGATTGGGACCCTGGTGACAGGGCATGAAGTAGATGTGCATTTGCTGCTAGTCCCAGGTAGGATCACAGCTATCCTTCAATGTTTTATAAGAACAAAATGTAAACGGAACATTCAGTGAATAGCGATTGTTTAAAATACAGTGGCTTTGTCTGGGAGTACTGAAGAAAAAGCATTGTCAGAAGTCTGGATCAGATATTATTTAATAGAAATGAAAGGCCAGGAGTTCAGGAGGAGTGGGCAAATAGGGAGAGACCTTTGAATAGTGGTGTCCAGTTTTGCAAAATGAAAAAACTTATAGAGATGGATGAATTTTTTTTTATAACAACATGTGTAGAACTTAACGTCACTGGTCTTTTACACTTAAACGTGTAAAATACTAGCATCACGTACATTTAACTGCAATTAAAAAACAAATTATAGGGGCAAGGGATACAGATCATCAGTTAAGAGAGCTTGCTGCTTCCAAAGATCATAGTTCCATTCCCAGCACCAACATCAAGTTGATCACAACTGCCTCTACCTCCAGTTACAGCGTATCCAACACCTTCTTCTGAACTCTGAGGGCACTCACCCATATGTGGCATACATACACACATAAATTAAAAAATCAGACTTAAATAAAATTTAAAGTTTGCTTAGCTGAAAAAAACGAAGATCTGTAAGAGTGAGCATGTACACATTCTTTATTTTCTTTTGACATAGGATTTCACTATGTAGCCATCAGTGGCCTGGAACTCACTGCATAGACCAGAAAGCCAGAAAACAGTTTGTGCGAGTCTGTTGTCTCCTTCCACCATGTGTGTCCTGAGGGTCCAACTCAGGCAATCAGGCTGGGCATGACGTGCCTTTACCCATTGAACCAATTTTCTGGCTCAAGTAACTCTTAACATAGCCAGGCATATGGCAAATATAATTATGGCAAATACAAAGTTGCAGAAAACGCATAACTTTTTAGCCCCATACTCCAGGCACTTTGAGGATGGGATTCTACTGTTGCAGTCATGTTCACAGTAATGATTATTAACGCTCTTTACCTCTTATTGTTGGAAGTATTTTCCCTCTCCAGATCCAAAAGTGCCCATTTAACACTAACTAACATCCACCTTTCAGAGAAGTCTGGCAATGAAAGGTCATGCTAAAACTAATCTGACTCCGTATTTACCACCAAACACCCTTCCGACTTAGTCCCTTTTTTTGTTTTTTCCCTTTTTTGAAATCTAGCTTGTCTGGTATACACCCGGTACCTGTTTCCCTTTCTTCTTTTTTAATTTTAATTTTCTCGGTGATGTTAGAGGCCAGAAGAGGGCGCTGTGGCCCCTGGAGCTGGAGTTACAGAAGGCTGTAAGTCTCGGGAATCGAACTGTGGACCTCGGGAAGTCCTTTCACCTCTGACCCATCCCTCCAGCCCTTCCTTTGACTACGGGGGTGCTCCCGCCTTGTTTGTACAATTTCTCAGTTGACTCATGTCTTTTGCCTTGGAACTGTCACCCGAACCGAGGGGCACCTCCAACCGCCCTTAAACGTCGAGCAGGCAGCCACACCCAGTTCTCACGCGGAGAGCCTAGGGGAAGACCGCTGAGATCTCGCGAGAGCCAATTCTCAGGCAACAGGAGGGTGGGGGCGGAGCGCGGCGCCCAGGCGCTTCCGCAAAGATGGCGGCGGCTGCAGGCAGAACCGCTCGGCTGGCGGCCTGGGGCGGAAGGCTGCGGCGCGGGCTCGCGGCCGGCCGGCGAGCTGTGCCGAGTCCCGGCCCTGCGGCAGCGGCTGTGGCCGGCGTGGTGCTGGCAGGGGCAGGAGCGGCGTGGCATCACGGCCGCGTGAGAGCAGCTGCGCGCGAGAGCAGCCTTAAGGTGTTGGCGCAGGTACGGGACGAGCTCTGCACAGCTCCGCCCTCAGTCGCCCCTGGGAGGGAGGCACGGGAGACCCCAGACCGCCGGCGGGAGAGCCCAGGAGGAGGTGGATGGAGGCCCCGCGGGGGATGCGTGTGGGCGTGGCCCGCGCCGGCGGCTGCCACTCCTCGCCTTTGCCCACCTGGTGGAGAAGGGGTTCCCATCTTTGGGTGCTGGGCGTCCCCGCCTCACCAGGAGGTACCTTTGCTTTTATTGCTAAAGGTTTCCCCGATCGCTTCTTTGTATGGAACGGTGGAGTCATCCTACTATGTGACTTTGTCCAGTCATGAAAATATCAGCTATAAAAGTTACAACAGTTGGTAGTCCTAGATTTTATGTTTTAATGACTGTTACATGAGTCTTAGGCCTTATGTTTTAATGGACTCCCCACCTACTTAGCAAAACAAGTTTTCTTAAAACCTGGGCTGTTGTGGTCAAATGTTAAGTATCCTACTCCAAGAAAAATATTTGCCGTGTAAAAACATTGGGAAGTTGCAAAGTACTACCTAAAATAGAGACATTTCAGAGTTTTGTTTTGTTTGTTTTAATTTTCTTAGAATTAAAGGTAGTTTTTCATTTTCCCTATTTGTTACTTTTCTATTATCTAGTTATAATGAATAACTCAAGAAACATTAAAATGCAACAAAAAGACTTTACAGATTAAAAAGTTGGTAAATGTTGTTAGTATAAAGATATAATACAGCTTGTGATGCATTGACTCCAACCTCACACCACATCTGATTAGAGGTGGAGAAAACTCATGCAGTCTAGCCTTTTGGTTTTTTTGTTTTAAGATTTATCTTTGTCTTATGTGTATGAGTATTTTGCCCCTATCTGTGTTTGTACACTGCATACCTGCCTGGTGCACAGTTGCCAAAAGAGGTCATTGAGCCTGTCAAACTGGAGTTACAGGAGGTTGTAAACCACCACAAGTGCTGGGAACTGAAATTGGTCCTCTGTAAGAGCAGCAAGTGCTCTCAACTACCTAGTCATCTCTCCAGCCCCAACGTGTTTGATAGTCTTTTGACAGACAAGTTTATTTTTTACTATCTGTTCTTCTGCTTGCACATTCTATCCTATTCAGAACCTTAGGGTAATTTCCTACATGGTAGTATTTTAACTTAGAAACTACTAGTGCATTGGATAATAAATTCATTTTTTTCCTCTCCATTGCTGAGTTTCCCGTTTACAACGAAAGTGGTCTACTACTAAACTATATCCCCAGCCCTCCACATTTTAAAACTTTGTAATGCAGAGCCATTATATTCACATTCTCTGACCTGTTATTAAGTCAAAAAACTTCCAGCTAGTGTCTCACTCACTGTCTAGGAACCAAGTTTAATTCCCACCCACAGCCCTTGACAATTTGTAAAGTGATTTCACTTCACCTCCTTTGAATTTTCAGGGTTTTCTGACTCCCTTCTAGCTTCTCCACTTTAAATTACTAACTTCACCTTATAGTTTACACCAATGTAGTGTTTTGTATTCTCTCTCCAACTCTTAGCCTCCTCATTCTCTGCAACTCTGTGCCCTTCAGCCTAACTAAAGTAACAGAGTCTTCTCAGTTGCTTTACAAGCTCTGTTGACACAGGTCGGCTTGGCCTGCTCTTTGGATGAATTGAGAATTCTCCTTTTCACATAATTATAATAGAAGACTAAGACACTAGAGAAATACTATTAATGTTATTCTTTTGTTGAGGACTATGTACAACAGTAGCACTAAGTTATTACTTGAGCTAAACTTCATCTTAGGAAAAACAATCATTTATGAAATCTTCTCAATCTTGCGTGCTTATGCTTTGTGAATAGCTGTATATATTCATGCATTTTTTAAATTTTGGTTACACAATGTGCCTACCAAACATTGCGTTTCCTTTCCTACTAATCTGTTTGCAAACGTTTCCTTCTTGAGCTTATATGACGCCCCAGTGTATCCTTGAAGCTCCTTCACTATTTTAGTTGCTCTTAGCCCTCAGTTTTAAAAGCCAACATCATTTGAATTTCCTGGGTTAGGACACAAGGGGAATGGGGGTGAAGAGAGTCAGATAACTATTTCCTATTTAGACTAGTATTGTCTTGGGAATCAACTACCCATTATTAATATTTACAATCTATTACCTTATTCAATTTTATTTCAAGGATACTATGAGTTTGTCAATATACCTTACTGACTAAACTTGGTTTCACCTATTTGCTTTGTTGAATATAATAAAAGATAAGCATTATTATAATAAAGCAAAAATGAAAAAGAAAGAAAATGGGCTTTTATGTTTTTACTGCCACAATGGACATTCCTTCCTCAACAGTGGCTGAAAACTAGTGCATTCCCTGTAGCTATGGCTTGAAAACTCTCCCTCTAAGGCAGTGATTTGAATGTATTTTCTTAAAAGGGAATCTGTTAATCCTCCTCCCCCATTTGGGGCACATGTGTGCATGATGTTTTATTTTGTGTTTATTTTACTCAGTATCATATGTGGGTCTAGATAATAATGAGGATAGCCTTCATTTTCATTCATCACACTAAATTATTTTTTCCACTAAAATTGGAGTAACTGTTAATGGCATCCTATTCTTTTCTATTTTCCATTGTGACCAACAGCTTGTGGTTTGTGCAGGGTCAACAGGAGTAAGTGTAGATCCAGTTCATGAAGTAACAGACGGGTGGAGCCCTTCTTTCTTTCCTTTCATAATTATTGAAATCCTTTGTACCAAGGGTGTGTGCAAGGAGTCAGGTTAGAAAGACGGTTTGCCTACTTGAAGTATGACAGCAGAGGGCAGTTTTAATGCAGTGTTGTAAATGCCGGCTGCTCACTGAAGGAGGGTACTAGAAGAGCACCCAGCATACTCCTGGTTTTCTGAAGGGATGATGAGTGGTTGTCCTGGAGCTGCTTGGCAGTTTATTTGGCAGAAAGGGGGTGTAAGTAAAGGGAATACTGCTCAGAGATTACAAGAACATTTGACTCAGCAGAAGCTGAACTATGAGGTGGGTGTGTTCGATGGCCTGGAATGTCATTAAGTCACCTAAGCCATGTGATAGGACTCTTTATCTTAAGGACTGTAGGAAGCCATTGCAGTTCTACAATCTCATGAGTGCACACCCCACTTACCCCCACAGAAAGCATCTTAGGTAGAAGAGGTTGATTTGTTTTCAGTGGCCTGTGACTTAAACATTTAATTAGGAATGTAAAGACACACTGGACAAGCTACTGCACTGTGGGCATTGCCCTCATATAGGCTTGCATATGGGGCCCTAACTGGATGAGGGATTGTCTTATAAAAACAAACAACAACAACAGATCCCTGCCAAGAATAAAAGGCTTCTAAGCGCCCATGACCAAACCCAAGCAAACATGGAGCACACAGTGAATGCCAGGTGCTCCCAGCAGTGCTTGCCGATATTACATGTGATTTCACTGGAGTCTCTTTCTGAGCATATGACTTTGGCTCAGATTCCAGAGCATTGTGTGTTATGAATTGCAGCAGTTTTTTTGTTTTTTTGTTTTTTTGTTTTTTTTTACTATATGTACTAAGTTTTCTACTCTTACAGAAACACAGTGGTTTAATAACAGAAAAGAGACATTCAGTATGTTTCTGCCATCAGTCTTCAGTGTGTATCAGATTACTATATCTGTAACTGTATTGTGTTTAAATATGTGATTTTTAAGAATCATTACATGAATTTTGGTTTGGGATTAAGACATAACTTAATAGTTTCTGAAGTGCTGCTAAATGCTTATGTGTCTTTATGCATCATGTGTGTGCATTGATAACTAGAAAAGCAAAGTGTCAGTCAAGTCCAACAAATGAAACACAGCACAACATTAAAAATGCTCCCTGTCCTGCCTGCAGTGTCAGATCTCCAAACGGGATTTAAGAAGCACATCTATTTATTAAATACGTTTTAAATTTTTATTAAATGTATTTATATGTGGGTTCAAGTGCTCTGCGTGCATGGAGGTCAGAGGCAACTTAACTGTTAGAGTCTGTTCTCTCCTTCACCATATGGCTCTTAGTGACAACACTTGGGGCTTCAGTCTGAGCAGCAAGGTCCTTTACCCACCAAGCCACCTCAAAGACTCGATGTTTTGGTTTTTTAAAATCTTTTTTTTTTTTCCCACTTGTATGTGTATGGAACGTAGCTTGTCTGTAAACCTGTATGGGTACAAATGCAAGTCTGAGGTTCATACAGAAGTCTTCTAGAGCTTTCAGATTCTGGCTAGTCTTGCTACTCAGATGCTCTGAGAAACCCTTGTCTGCCTTCCTAACTGGAATTATGGGCAGGCCACCACACCCAACTGACCTGGCATTTATGACATTTGCGTGAGCTCCAGGATCTGAACTGTTGTACTCTAGCTTGCTGCACATACTTAACAGCTGAGCCATCTTCCTCAAAATTTGCTTTCCTCTTTGATAAATGGTAAAAAATATATGTATAAAAGACAGTGGTTGTAAGCTTGATAATTTATTGTCAGTAGATGGTTTGCTTAAGTGTTTCACATATCTCTATACCTTATTTTTAAAAAAAGGATCAGGATTAGAAAAGTTTAAGAAGCCTGGCACTATCATTTTACAGCATCCAGCTCTATCTTGAATAGAAATTATTCCGATTATAATTGTTAGAGCATCTCAGTATGATTTGCAATCCCTGTTAAGCCCATCATCTCATCAAACTATATAATATTCGCTTTGCTTTGTGGGAAAAGTGTCCCTTTGGGGGGGGGAATGAATGAATTAAAAAAGTTACAGAGTTGTCACTGTAATTGGGAAATGGTGGCACCTTAATCAGGGGACTGGTTTACCAGATAAGATGTACAGAGTCCAAATTGCATGTCTTGTGTAAATGTGATTATGCTGTTTCAAAATGTATAGTAGAAGAGGGTAATATTATATTATGCTGCCTCCTGCCAGAAGTTAGATTCCAGCAGTTTCCCTGGCTTTATTTCAGTTTTTTGTTTGTTTTGTTGTTGTTTTGG